ATCACCGTTTGGGTGGTTTGAGCCAGGAGAGACTCGGTACAGATTTAGTACAGGATGCCTTGGATAAGGTTAAGATCATTCAAGATAGACTTCACGCAGCTCAGTCCAAGCAAAAAAGTTATACCGACCGTAAGGTTTGTGATGTAGCATTCATGGTCGGAAAGAGAGTGTTGCTTCGGGTATCGCCCATGAAGGGCGTAACGAGATTTAAGAAGAAGGGCAAGTTAAGCCCTAGGTTCATGGGGTTTTTTGAGATTCTTGATCAAGTGGGAGAGGTGGCCTACAGACTTGCGTTGCCACCAGGCTTATCAGCGGTGCATCCAATGTTTCATGTGTCCATGCTTCGGAAGTATCACGGTGATCCATCCCACGTGTTAGATTTTATCACTGTCCAATTGGACAAGGATTTGACCTACGAGGAGGAGCAGTAGCAATTTTAGATCGGCAAGTTCGCCAGTTGAGGTCAAAGAGTTATCCTTCGGTTCGGGTGCAGTGGAGAGGTCAACCTATTGAGGCAACTACCTGCGAGTCTGAGTCTGATATGCGGAGCAGAAATCCCTACCTTTTTACCAGCTCAAGTACTTTTCTATATCCGTTTGAGGACGAACAGTTGTTTAAGAGGTAGATAATGCGATGACCTAAAAGGTCGTCTTGCGTTTTAGAAACCAATCCGATGTTCTAAGGCCTTCAAAACCTCATTTTATTCCTACTCGATTTGCGTGCGCAGTCCGGGCGCATTTCCGGTAAGCCTTTATGTGGAAATTTGAGAAAATAATAAGTTTTGCCTTTAAAAGTTGATTTTAGTTGACTTCGGCCAATATTTTGAGTAAACGGATCCAGACCCGTATTTTGACGGTCCCGGAGGGTATAGTAAAATATGGGACCTGGGCGTATCCAGAATCGGATTCGGAGTTCCTTAGCCCGAGTAATGAATTTTTGTTAAAAGATTATTAAACTGAAAATCTAAGGATTTACAAAAATTGATTAATGTTTGATCTTGTTGGTATCGGACCCCTATTTTGGTTCCGGAGTTCGGTACAGGTTTAATATAATATTTATGTCATGTGTGTAAAATTTGGTGAAAAACCCGAGTTGATTTAACGTAATTCGGGCGTCCGATTGTGAAAATAGCAATTTCAAGTGTTCTTGAGAATTTTACGTGTTTTGGTGTTAAATCCATAGTTTTAGATGTTATTTTGGCAATTTGATAGCACGAGCAAGTTCGGTTGATGTTTAATACTTGTGTGCATGTTTGGTTTGGAGCCCCGAGGGCTTGGGTGAGTTTCGGATAGGCTACAGGGTGTTTTGGAACTTAGGAAATCTACTGGTATGACTGAACCTGTTGCAGGCCTCTGATCTCGCAATTGCGAGATCAGGCATCGCAATAGCGAACCCTGCAGGTTCCGCATTTGCAAGGCTATCATCGCAATTGCAATAAAAAACTGGGCCATACAGTTTTTGCAATTGCGAAGATTTCTTCGCATTTACGAAGTAAAATTGGGAGGGGCAGTGATCGCAAATGCGATCATTATGTCGCATTTGCGGAGGTTCCCGTTCACAATTGCGAACTTACCTTCGCAATTGCGAAGGCACCAGAGGTGTGGAGAACTTCACATTTTGCGATGGTTCTTCGCATTTGCGAGCTTCGCAATTGCAAAGCTCAGGTCGAAATGCGACATCTGCAACTGTGTAAATGGGACTTAGACGGGATTTTTGATTCATTTCCAAATTTTAAAAACCTAAACCTCAAGAGGCGATTTTCCAAAGGCTAGTTCTTCCCCAAATCATAGGTAAATGATTATTAACTCTTTTCTTTCAATCTTTCACTTCTTAAAATAAGATTTCTACCTAGAATCTAGGATTTTCATGGTGGAATTGGGTGTTTTTGGGAGGAAGCTAGGAATTTTGAAATTTGGCGATTTAGACCTCAAATTGAGGTCGGATTTCAAAAACAATTGTATATCCGGGATCGAGGGTGAATGGGTAATCAGGATTTGGTCCGAATTTTGGGATTGGACCAAGCGGGCCCGGGTGTTGACTTTTGTTGACTTTTTCAAAAATGGTCTAAATTGAATACCTTGCTATCATGGGTTGTTCCTAAGGCTTAAATTGAATTGTTTGGTTGATAATTTGCTAGATTCTATTGGTCCGGAGGCTTGTGTAAAGGGAAAAGCGGTGATTGAGCCTTGATTTTGGCCGGAGGAGCAAGGTGAGTGTTGTGGCTAACCTTAGATTGAGGGATTAGGTTTTATTTGCTTATTTGTTATGTGTTTGGATGTTGAGTACGATGTATAGGTAATGTTACGAGTATCTGTACGTTGTTGTCGAGTCATAACATGTGAGTGAGATTTATTCTTGGAGATGTTATATTATGATCATATTGTTCATGTGTAGACTAGTTAATCGATGTGTGGAGAAGTTTCTTATCATGTTTTTAGAGAATTTGGTATTGATGGGTTTTTTACCCAAAGTTGAAGTTGGTATTCAGGGATTAAGTGCTGAAGTAAGACTTGTTGTTGCTATTTTACCTCTCTATTATTGTTGTCTCTTGTTTTGGTGAGTAGAGTAGTTAAGTACGAAGGGTGATGCCGTGAACGTTTATATTATTTATATGGTGAGGAAGAGTGATAAAGCACGAAGGTGATGCCGTGCACGTTTCTATTATATATATGGTGAGGAAGAGAGATAAAGCACGAAGGGTGATGCTGTGCACATTTCTATTATTTATTATCTGGTGAGGTTGAGAGTAAAACCACGAAGGGTGATATCGTGCATATTTTAGTTTGCTGTGTTTACTTGTTATTACCGGTTCAAGGTCTACTAGTTGTTTAAGTTCCTCTACTGCTGTGATTCTTTATTTTGATACCCCTTACCATGTTTCCCCTCCCGTTAATATCTGTTTATCTTCTGTGAATTATTATTTCTGTTAGTATATTGTATAACTGCACGGGTTTATATAAGTGTCTTATCCTAGCCTCGTCACTACTTCGGCGAGGTTAGGCTCGGCACTTACCAGTGCATGGGGTAGGTTGTACTGATACTGCACTCTGCACTTTCTGTGCAGATTTCGATACCGGACTGTGCTGACCCGATGTGAGCTGCTGCCTTCGGTCCAATAGGAGATCCAAGGTAGATTTGTCGGCGTTCGCAGACCCTGGAGTCCCCTTCCAGTTATCCTAGTTTCTTGGTTTCTTTTAATTCAAGAACAGTTGTATTTTCTTTCAGCCAGTATTTGTAGTGACTCTTAGTAGTTCGTGGATTGTGACACAAGATTTTGGGGTAGTCGTGTATTAGTACTTGAATTATTATAAAGTTCCGAATTCTTTAATCTGTTTAGTTTAATTGTTGTTATTTACTGAATTGGATAGTGGTTAGCATATTGAATCTTTATCTCTTGGCTTGCCTAGCATTCCGAAAAGTTAGGCGCCATCACGATTTCGACGGTGGGAAATCTAGGTCGTGACAAATAGATAGATAGGTCAATTATCTAAATTTTATCTGTCAATGTCTCATTCATAGCCACCTTTCTCGTAATGGCACCGTTTGCAAATGAAAGTTGCTAATTGGAAGCAAAAAAACTAAAGTGCTAACCATTCATTTCAAGAGTTACGTGCATAAGGATATTTTTTTTAAAATAAAATATTTAGAATTTATAGAAGGATATTTTGGTAATTTAACTTTTAAATTTTGAAGGTTAATAGTAATACTTTCTCACAACCAAATTCTTATAGTACACTTGTTAAATAATATCAATATTATTATACAAAGCTTTGAATAAATAATTATACATGAAAAGAATGAAATACAAGTTTATGTGAATATTTATATATATGAAGCATTGTATAGTGACATATCTGATGAAATTAAGATGATTGGGGAGCTTAGTATATTTACCAACAGCAGAGAGGCCATTGACATTGGATGTTCAGGCCTCAACCAACTAGCTTATTAGATTGGATATTTCTGAATGGAATCGAGTTTTGGCTTTTGTGGTCTCCCAGTCTTACCTTTATGATCGCATCAGGAAGCGTTAGTATGATGACCCACATCTGCTTGTCCTTAAGGACACAGTTCAGTATAATGATGCCAAGAAGGTTATTATTGGAGATAATGGTGCATTAAGGATGCAGGGCAAGCTGTGTGTGCCCAACGTCAAGAATGAAGAGAAGATATGGAAATCCTAAAATCAGTTATTAAAAATAAAATAAAAAAACTGAGAACATAGCTGGCACAACTTTATTACACGCCCATGGATAAAAATGTTCTGAAGAAGAGATTAAACCATTAGCACATGCATGGGGCGTGCCATATTTATTGATTAAATTAAGCATAAAGATTTGAATTTAAACTCCATTGACAACCATTAGAAACTTTGAAACTTTTAATTCGAAAATTGGATTTAAGTCAATCGTTATTTATTTGAATTGGGTGTTGTTGTAAATTATTGAAAATACTATTTGGAGTTTATATCTCAATTTTGAGAGAATTTGTGAGAATCGAGTTGGTCTTGGTTGAAATTTCATATTGAAACTCGAAAAAGAAGACCTAAACAAATTATATATATTTTGTATGTCGTGTGTAGAAACAGTATATAAAATATCTACAACTTACATAATTATATACAAGCTGTATATAATTTGTATGTGAATTGTAGTTTTTGACTGGATTCTGTAAAAAAAATAAGTATTAAAAGTTGTAGATAAATTATAGATTTTGACCGAATTTATATATATTTTGTAAAAGATATTAATTATTTTTATAAATATGAAACTTAGAAAAAATCGAATAAATAAATTTAAAATCTCGTATATATACAAAAAAAGTCCCCTAGTTAATTCTACTTTTAATTATGATAAAGGAACTGACCTAAATTAGGCCCAAGAAGCCCAATAGAAAATGTAAATCTAGCCGTCATTTTTATGGAATCCAGCCCATTCTCGGGGTTAAAATAGGAATTTCAAACAATAAAAGACAAAGCAACATGTTACAGAAAATAGTAAATACAATTCCATAAAAGTAACAATTACAGAAAAACCATAAAAATACACATAACACAACGCAAGAGTCTAATCTTTCTATTCTCTTTTCCTCTGAACTCCTGCGGCGTGGATCCGAGGAGTTTCAGACAAAAACAGCAGTCTTTGCAAACCCTAACTCTCCAATCTCTTTTACCCACTTCTCCTTTCAACTCTCTCTTTGCTATTCCTCACATCTTTTCCTCATCTCTATCAGGTTAGCTATGCTTTTTTCTATAATCTTTTTTTGTATCTTGATGATTAATTGTTGGTCTGAATTGGTTTCTAAAGCTGGTTTTTGGGTTATTTAGCTGTTTCTGTATGTGTGATACTTTTTTTTTGACTATTTTGGATAGAGATCTGTTTGATGTGATATTCTTGATTGTAAAAATATCATCTTTGTTTATTATCTGTTTGGAACATGAGCTATTTCACTCTCATAGTGCTTGTATTATGATATAATAACCTGTTTATAAAGTATTGTGCAAAAGGATTATCTTTTGAAAGGAATGTGAATGGTGGTCATTTGGACCTTGGATTTGTAGTTGAGTTCCTTATGGAATGAGACTATCATTGTTTTGATGCCATATATTCTTTAAGTAATGGGTGTTTTGTGAGATTTTCACTCAGTTATGGATGTATTTGATAATTGGAAAAACTGGATAGTTGGATACCTACTACGTGGAGGAAGTAAATCTGGGGATTATAATGCCTTATTCTGCTATCTGTTCTTTGTCTTTCGTGTAAAGCTTGACATGCTTCTCGTCGTTAGCGTGATGGTGTTGTAATTCTGTTTTTGGAGTCAGTATCTATCTTTTTGTATTTTATGTAGTAGCCATCACTACCATATGTTCTTCCTTTTTTCTGCCTTTGTCACTTTGACTCAGCATCAAATAACTTTAAAGGTCGGTTGGCAGTTGGCTTAAATCAATTGCTTTTTCATGCGTATCTCCTCTTTCTGTACTTTGCTTCTTTATAAAGAAAGAGGTGTACATTGGTTATGAAAAAGAACATAAAGAAAGAAACCATACATTTGGTTGTGGCTTCCACCCTTTCAATATTCGAGAAGAACAGATAATATTATTGCTAGTGCTAGTATTGACAACTGTGATATTTTCACAGTAAGGTTTTGGCTTTTCCCCTTAGTTAAGCTCAATATTGTTCAATGAATTTCCATAAGAGTAAAACCATAGTTCTTTTATTTGCTACAGTCATGGCTGGCTTAGCACCGGAAGGTTCTCAATTTGATGCTCGTCAGTATGATGCCAAAATGACTGAGCTGTAAGTTGTTTGCTCTCAATTCTATAGGATATATATATCTGGGAGCAGAAAACTACTCCTACCTTTTATTTCCCTCCTTAGGTGCTTTAGCTATCACTTGTGACGATGTTGTGTTCCTTGTCTTTGCTGGCTCAATTATTTTTTTATTTTTTGGATGTTTTGACATGCTGAAACAGGCTTGGGACTGAACAGGAGGAGTTCTTCACATCATATGATGAGGTTTATGACAGTTTTGATGCCATGGGTTTGCAAGAGAACCTTCTTAGGGGCATCTATGCTTATGGTAAATGCACTTCTCAATAGCACATGTGGTTTTTCTTCTCCCTTGTTAGATTTAGCAGGGCATTTAACACCTGGCTTTAATTACTTGAAGGTTTTGAGAAGCCATCTGCTATCCAGCAAAGGGGTATTGTCCCATTTTGCAAGGGTCTTGATGTGATCCAACAGGCACAATCTGGAACCGGAAAGACGGCAACTTTCTGCTCTGGAGTTCTCCAGCAGCTTGATTACAGCTTAGTCGAATGTCAGGCTCTGGTTCTGGCTCCAACCCGTGAGCTTGCCCAACAGATTGAGAAGGTTATGCGAGCACTTGGTGACTATCTTGGTGTGAAGGTTCATGCTTGTGTAGGAGGTACTAGCGTCCGTGAGGATCAGCGTATCCTTCAAAGTGGAGTTCATGTGGTGGTCGGTACTCCTGGCCGCGTCTTTGACATGTTGCGCAGGCAGTCTCTTCGCCCTGACCACATCAAGATGTTTGTTCTGGATGAAGCTGATGAAATGCTCTCAAGAGGTTTCAAAGATCAGGTTGCCATTTTCTCCTTTTATTTCATGCTTTATTTTATGTTTTGTCCTTCGGGTTGGATTTTCTTATTTATTAGGTTTCTATAATAGTTAGTGCACAAATATGGGGATGTGTT